CTTCCGACAAAGTCGAACTTGAGGTGAAAACTTGCTGCGACAAAGCTCATCGTGGCTTACTCGAGAACGTCTTTTCCCTGCTTACGCATATGACTTTCCCGTTGGACACACGTCTCTTCAATCACAAACTTTTTGCTCATGATTCTCTAAAGCTTCCCCAACAACCAATCGCATCTAATACTGTAGGATGATGTGAAGCTGTGTCCACTCCTGTGTTAAGTGGTGCCCCTACCATGCATAAAATTTACCAGGAAATAGCGAGAAAGATAGCCGGCCCGGCCGCGGGTAATACTTGAGCCGCACTCCGTTTCCTATGGAGGTCAAATAAAAATAGACGTGCCGTTTGCTTTCTATTTTACACACCACTCTCTCTAGCTATTCTCATCTTTTTCGTTGTCCCAGATACATACGCTCGAGACTTTTCCTGTGCTGTCATCTGTCATTACGTCCAGAATTGGTTCTTCTCTTTATCGATTTTAATGGCCAGGGTTCAAAATTTCCCTGTATCATCTCCTCATCTCTTCAAACTATCTTCCCCACGACTTTGCACCTTGACCAGCTCCCTCTCGATCTCATTTTTCGCTGCTTTTTTCATAAAACTTTTTTTTTTCCTACTGAGGTAAACCAAAAGTTGATTTACCCAACATATTTACAAGTTCCTGTGCAAGAACCTTTTCCTAGGTTTGTTTCTCTTCCTCATCTGTTGAGTAAATAAGCCTTTCATGAAGCAGAGTTCCGCACTTCAGCTTCCATTTTCTCTCCCTCTCTCCCTGGTCATCTCTGACCAGGCGTTGTTGGGGGATTTTCCCAAGGGAGGGAGGCCATGCTGGTGGCAAGCCGCCTCTCCTCCCCAGCAGTCCTGCCCTGAATCACTTTCTGATGTCTGGGAATGAGTGAGTCCTGGCTCGTTTCTCAGTGCAACCCATTCACACTTTAATTAGGGATAATTCCTTAAAAAGCCGCTAAATTATTCATCAGAGACCTAAGTTTCTAGTACAGCTGTAACTTTGCATATTTTTAAACGCTGGGATTTACTTTTCAATGAGAAAACTCTCTGTCTTCTCTGTGTCTGTTCTGCTTCACTGTGCTGAAGGGACCACGGGTCCTCAGCCAAGGAAGGATGGAAAATTCCACAGCACTCTGTGAAGAGCGGCGGCTTCCTCACAACTGAACCAGAGGGATGATGGGGCCCGTCTGCTGATCCCAGATCCAAGCCCACTTACTACCGCCCATCCCTTCTCCCCCTACCTGCCTCTGTGGTGTCGCCACACCCAGCTGCTTATAATGACCGGATGCAACATTTCCCATGTGTTTGCGTCTTGGGACATTCCACTCCCTTTCTTTGGAATCCCATTCCACTCTTCCTACCCCGTTAAAGTTCGGCCACGTCTTGCTCGTGTGTTTCCGGTGGCGTCACCCTCCTGGGGGTCTTTCCTGACAATCCCCCTCCTAAGATCTCCTCGAAGGCCTGCAGCCAGCATACATGATCCGTGTGGTGTAACTTTATCTGCCAACTTGCCTAAGCCCCACTGGAGCATGATCTCCCTCGTGGCGCCCCGCACGGCCCTGGCTCAGGCGTCACCCCTGCGGGGGGGGGGGGGGGGGGGGGGAAGGGGAGGGGTGCACAGTGACAGCCTACCTGATGAAAGAAGGCGGGAATAGGATATTAACTATCCGCTTCCATGATTAAAACTGGTCAGTGGGCTTTTTTTCAGACCTGCATATGGTGGCGGACCATCACTATTCTGGTCAACATGAGGGAGACGGGGATGTATCAAAATAAAGTTAAGTCCTTTATAATATTTACTAGACTTCTGAAGACTTACCCAAATCCGAAGTTGTGCTAATATTACATGAGACCCTGTTGCTGTGCAGTTAATTCTTTTTTAAAAAATTTTTTTAATGTTTGTTTATTTTTGAGAGAGAGACAGAGACAGAGACAGAGACAGAGTGCGAGTCGGGGAGGGGCAGAGAGAGGGAGACAGAGTCTGCAGCAGGCTCCAGGCCCCCAGCTGTCAGCACAGAGCCAGATGTGGGGCTTGAACCCACGAACCGTGAGATCATGACCCGAGCTGAGACTGACTGAGCCCCCCAGGCACCCCAATTCCTAACCAACAGTATATCTGGGGGGGGGGGCGATATTAATATGAGTCTCAGGGATCACCTACCCACACCAACATCCCTACCTGTTTCAACCTCTAATTCAGTTCGGCAAACAACATGCTTACTCAAACAGCCGCATTCTAGCGTCACATCACGTGAGCTCATGGTCTGCTCTGCCCGTGCCCCACACACAGCACAACACTGCGTACAAATCACTACTTCAAAAACAATTATTATGCGGAAATTGCTATGCATCCAAGAAAGGAAAATGAGCTTCCCTCGGTTCAAAACGAGGGGGACTGGCTCATTCTTCTGGTTCTTTTGGAGTTCTAACAGTGCTTCTTTGATTAATTGAAAAGAGATCAATAAAATAGATCTATGATGGAAGGCCATTTACTTATGAATATAACGATTCATAACAAGACCGATCAATTTAAAATATCAATTATATACGATATTTATAAATGATATAGTTTTATACTTAAAATGGGTAACTATAGGGGCGCCTGGGTGGCGCAGTCGGTTAAGCGTCCGACTTCAGCCAGGTCACGATCTCGCGGTCCGTGAGTTCGAGCCCCGCGTCGGGCTCTGGGCTGATGGCTCGGAGCCTGGAGCCTGTTTCCGATTCTGTGTCTCCCTCTCTCTCTGCCCCTCCCCCGTTCATGCTCTGTCTCTCTCTGTCCCAAAAATAAATAAATGTTGAAAAAAAAAAAATTTAAAAAAAAAAATAAAATAAAATAAAATAAAATAAAATGGGTAACTATATAATAACAAATTAATATAATATTTAAATGTATCAATTTATAACAAGATATAAAATTTCACAGCAATTTTAATAATTACTTTTAATTATACATCCACAACTTGACATGGAAAATGTTTCATAAAGTTTTATTTTCTTATTAACTAGGGTGCTCCTGGCACGATGCATTTTTTCAGTTGACCCGGAGCTGACCTCCCCCGCCTCGCCCAGTTACTGGCACCCCTTCCCAGTTCCTCTGTTATGCAGTTAGTAACACATAAACAAACCCCTAAATGTGCTCTTTGGACACAAGACATTTAACACATACTTTCCAGAATAGTGATCCCTAAAAATTCTGAAATGTATCAAAACATCAAGTTTTTCACAGAGTTCAGAAACCCCCCTCTCAAAACACATGCATTTAACTGTTATAAAATTATCTATGAAGGCAGACAAGTATTTCCCCAGAAGATAGCAAAACTGTAAGTGCTATATTATTATGGTTTATAAGTAAAAAGAAAAAAAAAAAACAGGGAAAAATGAAAGCAGAGATTTGACACATGGCAGACCAAGTCAGAATGGTCATTCTATTATCCACCAAGTTAGTAAGAAATATTACTGTCTTTTGTTCTTTAAGATAGATTAGCCAGAAGGCAAAGGTAAAACTAACACAAATATGCTTGGAAGAAAGTGTGATCTGTTTCCCAAACAATAAACGATCTCCATAGGAAAGAAAAGTTGCCATAACGTTCTTCAACTAGATATTTCACACATTCATAGCAGGGGGTTCCTAAGAGAACTAGGTCTACTGAAAAATGTCTCTCTGATATTCAAGGATAGCACCCAAGCCAGTTAAAGTCACAGAATCTTGACATACGACGTGCTATCTGATCATCTTTCATGGTCATTAAATTAAATAGGAAACAGGATCATCTCAGCGTAAAGTGTTTATAAATGTATGTATGATACTCATTCAGATTTTAATAACTCAGTAATGCATAATTACAAGGACAGAAGGGAAGATTCAGTCAAGAATCATTAAAGCCTGTGAAAAACACTAATAGTTGAGTTGTTCTTCCTGATTTATTACTAAACAAGATCTATAGCAAATTAGAATACATAAGATAGGCAAAGAGAGAAGAAAATAAATACGTCTCCTAAACCAGCACTGCGTTATCCACAGGAACATGTCCTTATTACTAAATTTTAGAGACACATATTGAGAAAAGCTTGGTAGGTAGCGAATTACAGGGAGATAATGTAATTCTGAAGTCATAAAATATTCCATAATGGAAGGCGTTGCAAGATAATCTTGGCATGGACAACATTTGCTTTTATAATATGATCTACGTTAAGGTGATTTTAAAAATCAATTTAAAAATTCATAAGATGATTTTATTCCCCTGTTGCTATATAGGGTTATTATACAATCCTTCATCCAGAAATTGTTTCATGGAAGTGTGTTCCAGGACAAATGTTCTTTCAGGCCACCAGACTCCAAAGATAGAACAAAATCCATCTTCCAAACGGTATATTTTTACAGGCCAGTCCCAATATCACTCCCAACGTGCAGGCAAAATTCATAAACATCCTGCATGTGCCCCTGCCCCTAGATCAAGGAGTGTGCTACACGCACCTGAGTCTGCATGGCAACACGTGTTTAACGGGTTCGATTAGCGCTCCTACCAAGAGCTACCGGCAGAAGATTTGGTCCTGTTCTAAAATTTGAGCGCCATAAATATATGATTCTGTGCAAATCCCCTCTACCATATCTTCATCTTAAAAACAGATTCCATAGTCTAAAAATGCAGTAAATGGGATACCTAACACTCAGTTTCTTCATAAAAAGGAATCATGCTCGTGAAAAACTCTATAACTTGAAGTAACCATTTGTTTAAAACGACAAATATGGTTTTCATACCTAAAATTAACATGACGTAAGCAAACGTATATATGTATATATATTTGCTGTATAAAAATATGTACGTATGTATATATATACAAATGTATATGTGTATGTATGTATATATATACATATGTATATGTGTGTATATATATATATGCTATATATACACACACACACACACACACACACACACACACACACACACACATATGTGTGTGTGTGTGTGTACATAGGGTACCGGGCACCAACCTGGTATCGGCTGAGGCGCCAGCACCAGTGTGGGAAGAGGCCTGGAGGCAGGAGCTGGTCTGGACAGAGACATCGCCACTTGATTCGCCAACAAGTGAGGCTTTTCGTGCCCATGGAACAACCTTGATTCCTCAGGATATATCCATGTTGAGTCCAGAGCAAAGGAATTGTTAAAAAAGATCTGTCCAAAAATAAAGCAAGCGTAACATTTAAGACAAGACACACGATAAAAGCTAAACACTGCTATAAAATATTTCTCTTCCCTAACCTTGATCGAATATTGGAGATTCTGTAAGTGGGCACTCTGTAAAAGCATCATGCTAAAATTTAAAGATCCACGAGGCTCTGATACCAGTCACCTTCTGGACAAAGTCTTCTGGGCTGGTCTTCAACTATTGGCTTGGTCACTTCAACCTAGCAGCCCGCTTACAGATTGAAGAATCAGCCCACTGAGGTCAACAGTCTGTCGTAGAGCAAGCCACCATATTAGCTGCATTCAGTTTTCCGAGCAAACAAAGTGTGGCCAGTAGGTTTGGATTCAAACGCCAAGATGAAGCATCAGAAAGGTGGACACTCAAAGCAATAGCGGCAAGAAAACCCCGCTTTCAGAATTCATACTTAAATTATATAGATTCCGATCAACGGTCATAGATTCAAAAACTGAAAACTTTTAGAAGTAGATTCTGATTGGAAGTAGAAATCTCGTATTGTTCTATGGAATCCACATTTTTAAGTTAAAACAAAAGGAACCCCACCCCCCCCACCTCTGCTGGTGCTTTCGAACAGACTGATTTTACTCTGAAAAGGTTTCTCTCTAGACCTACAGATTACAATCAGAAAATGCACAGTGTTTTCTGCTGTTGTGGGGAGACCCAACAAATTAATAATTAAAGGTCCCCTTATCTAATTAAACTGCTTGCATTTTACCTTACAATTAGGTATCCTTTTGTCTATCCAACTTTTCCCAACAGGAGGAGGAAGAGCGGCTGGGCAGACATGTGGGAACATGGGCACCAGCTCCACAGTGGAAGAAGGGGTCAGTCCTATGGACGGAGAATGGCCACCAAACAGCCACTGAAAGCCAAGAGAAGAGAAGGGAGTGCTCATTAGCCTAAATAGATCAGCTAGGTCGTGCCACAAGATACTGGGGGAAATGCTTTTGAAAAAGAATTTAAAAATGTATGCATTTGATTAGGAGAGAAATTCCCTCCTTCAACAGTGGAGGAAAACTGTAAATGTTCACAAAATTTTAAAAATTTAAAAGTTTTCCTATTTGAATCATCACAACGCATCACCAACATTGCATTCTTCCATACCGAGAAAGAATTTCCAAGCACAAAACCGTAAGAATGTGGTAAGAAATGGGTTTCTGCCTTGAGATAATGAGAAACCACAGTGGAAAGACGAAATGCTGGGCATTCCTCTTACAATTCTTGAATTCTTTTCATAAGCAAGCAGGGAGTTGTATTTTATGATAATCTTTTCAACACAACGTGTTGTATTAATTATGCTTATCATTTAAAAAGCCAACACAACCAATATTTTCAAAATAAAATCAGCTAAGGGGTTAAGATTCAAAGTTTCCCAAGGTTCACAAATGCAAATACATTCCAAGGCAAAGAAAAGGTAAGTGAGGTTATCACATAACCGAAGATCCCAGTGCACAGAATAAAACAGCAAACACTGAAAGGGGGCAGACAATTTAGGAGACGGTCTCCCTAAAAATAACTGAATCTTCATCAGTGGAGAACCAGGAAGATCACTGCTCAATGGTATGGAACGTTTCGATATCTATTTGTTTTAAGATCATAAAAGCGTTTTTTTAATTTTCCTGTTATGGGAAAATATTCTTCTGGTTCTAAATACTGTTATTTAACAGAAAACATGTAACACGAAAATATTTAGAAGATAAGAGTTTTGGATTTTTCTTTTTAAATTTACACACACACACACACACACACACACACACACACACACACACACACAAATGCAGTGTTCTATACAGAAAAAAAATCGTAGTTCCTTGACATTATACACCTCTAGTGGTAGCACTCTGATATAACAACCCCTTCAAAACATGGAAAAAGCTACCAACGTTTTATTCAATAAAACCCAATATGAACTGCATCACACATCAAAATGTGATATCCAGCACCACATATGTGATGTATCATTAAGTCTAAAGAGCAAATTAGGAGGAGTTTAATAATATCTTTTAGAAAAGCCCACAGGATAATATTGGAATTAAATTAATTAAATGATGTATTCTAACACACCACTCATTTGAATATGCTAATGAAGGCAATCTTTGGAATAAAATACATGTTATTCCCTGATTTAAATGCATCTGCATAGTTAGATAGCAAACAATGGATCTTGCCAAAAGCAGGCTGCCTTGCTCTGTTGCACCATTAATCAAAGGCACAGTCACTTTTTCGTTTTAATTCCAGGCTTTCGACCCCAAACTCTTCTAAAGTGCATTACGGCATTAGCTAATCTGGTGGACTCAGGCTGACCAAGGTGGGAGGGGAAATCGCCCGTAATATTTCCCAATATTAAAGGCAGGATTTCCTTGCCGGCTTCCATTGGTTTGAATTCTCTCAAGCATTGTCCTGAGACTATTTTCAAAAAAAA